CCTTGGGGTGGGGTCTCCTCCCCAACCTACCACCAGCTTCTTGCTGTGCTGCAGCTCCGGGAGCTCTGCCCTGGAGCCCTGCGGTTGGAGGGCAGCAGGCACAGGGTGGGAGCAGCCCCCAGGAGGTGGGAAAGCATTTCCTGGAGGCTTGTGCCACTTGGCTTCCTGGCAGAGGAAGGAACATTCTCGTCCAGGCTGGGGTCCGGTCCATCTGCTGTAGCAAGGGTCTGGCGGCTCACACTGAGTGTCATGGGGAGGCCTTCCGAGCTGGGCTCGTTTGGATTTCCTGGGGGAAGGACCAGGGAGGGACTGGAGGCACAGCAGTGAGGACTCAGCATTTTGTCACACCCACACAGTTTTGCAGAATGGACTTCTTAACCCTGGACCCCCTGAAATCAAACACTCTGTTTGCTGTTGGTCCCTTGCCGAGGTAACATCCTGTGAGCGTTACCTGACCAGACAGAGCAGTCAGCCCTGTGCCTGATCCCGTGTGTGCTCAGCAGCGTGATGTCACCATTGTGTTTTCATGCTATTGTCTTTTTTTTTTTTTTAAAGAATTTCCAGTTCTTTTATTTTATTGACATTCAGTCCTGACATTTTTGTAATAAGTATGTTTTGACAGGCATCTCAGTATTTTTTTAGATGTTGATGGATTTTATTTTATTCATTTATTTATATGTGGTGTTGAGAATTTAACCCAATGCCTCACACATGTTAGGTGAGCGCTCCACGGAGCCCCAGCCTCAGCCCACTATTGTCATTTTGTATGACATTTTTCTGCTGAGGAAAGTGTTGGTAGCTTTTGTCAGATTCTTTCTTTTTTTTTTTTTGTACCAGGGATTGAACTCCGGGCCCTCAACCACTGAGCCACATCTCCAGCCCTTTTTTATATTTTATTTAGAGGCAGGGTCTCACTGAGTTGCTTAGGATCTTGCTAAGTTGCTGAGGCTGGCTTTGAACTCGAAATCCTCCTGGCCCTCCTCCTAAGCAGCTGGAATTTCAGGCGTGTGCCACCGTGCCTGCTTTTATCAGATCCTCATAGGATCTGTGACCCCCAAGCCATTAACACTGGCATAGACCTTGTGGGGCTGGAGCTGTCTCATCTGGACATGTCTCCTGTGAGTGCCTGAGGCCAGGGTCCTGAGGCCTGGACACCCCTGTCCCTCCAGCATGGTGACCCCTGACCCAGGTGTGAGCTGGCACTTCTCCCTCCTCCAGCCCTTGAAGGCTGAGGCTACGTCAAAGGCCACGAGGGAGGCCCAGGCCAGATGCTGGCTTGCCAGGGAGACGGGCGGTTGGCTCTCTGTCCTTGGTCTGGAGTGGAGATCGATAAGCAATTGTTTTTCTGTTGGCAAGGAAAAAAATTCTCCATTGACTTTCCCAGGCGCTGCCAGGCTGTCTTCTTTTCAGGAATGCTGGTGGCCTTTCGGAGGCGGCTCTGGGAGGGTAGAGGAAGGACCACACTGCCGGGGTTGGGGAGCACACACAGGAGCAGGGGGCTCTCCAGGTCCTTAGGTACATCACAGGAACATGCAACCACAGCCCAGAGGGTAGTAGGCGCTCAGCAGGTACAGCTGAGAGAACAGCTTTCGAGCATCTGACCCTATGCCAGGAGCGGTTCAAAGTGTCTGGCTTGTGTGAAGCTTCTGACCAGTGGTGGGTGCCCATTTTGGAGATAAGACAACTGAAGTTGCCAGAGGCTAAGGTGAACCAGAAGGAGGATCCCAAGCTGTATGACTCCAGGGCCCTGCTTTCCTCTTCTGGACGGATCATAAAAAGGATATGCAGAGCCATAACAGTGGGGGCTGTGGAGATGATTTCTTTTAAAAATACAATTTTGAGGGCTGGGGATGTAGCTCAGTTGGTAGAGTGCTTGCCCCACCTGCACAAGGCCATGAGTTCAATCCCCAGCACCCCCCCCAAAATTTTTTTTTTGTTTTTTGAGCTGGGCACGGTGGTGCATGTCTGTAATCCCAGTGGCTCAGGAGGCTGAGGCAAGAGGATCGCGAGTTGAAAGCCAACCTCAACTTCTCGAGGTCCTAAGCAACTCAGTGAGACCCTGTCTCTAAATAAAATACAAAAACAAGGGTTGGGGATATGGCTCAATGGCTGAGTGCCCCTGGGTTCAATCCCTGGTACCAAAAAATAACAATAAAAATACATTTTTTAATATTGAGTGTATGCTTGTGGCACAAAAGATGGTGAAAAGCCATTCCCTCCCACTGTACCCCTGCCCTCAAAACAGTTATTTCTCCTTGGAACCCCTGTTACTGTCTTCTTGTGTATTTTTCCAGAAATCCACAGTGCATGTGCCATCCTAGACATGCGTGTGGACCTTTCCTCCTGGGCCAGCAGTAGCCACCAGTGCTTTGGTTTTTCCCTGTAACAGTGTCTTGGCACTAATTCACACAAGATATATAGAACCACCTATCTTAAAATGCACGCTTTTCTCCCAGGATAGATGTACCTCATTTTGTTTGCCGGGGGTGGTCATTTCAAACCACACTGCCAATATCACGTTGTGTTTACATCATTTTCTGCATGCGCAAGGTTGTCTGTGGAGGGAATACCCAGGTGCAGGATTGCTAGGTCCCAGGTGTGTGCATTTGGAATTTTAAATACTAATGTATTTCCCTCCATAGGGATGGTACCAGTTCACACCCTGGCAGCCGTGGATGAAAGCGGCCACTTCCCTGCAGCTGAGCCAGACGTGCCAATCTGATAGATGAAAGAAATGTGTTTTGATTGTAGTTTTATTCTTTTTTAGGGGGAGGGCACCAGGGATTGAACTTGGGGCACCCAACCACTGAGCCATATCCCCAGCCCTATTTTGCATTTTATTTACAGATAGGGTCTCACTGAGTTGCTCAGTGCCTTGTTTTTGCTGAGGCTGGCTTTGAACTTGTGCCACTAGTTTTCTTCTTAATTTTGCTAAAATTCATGGAACATAAAATTTACCCTCTTAACCACTTTTAGTGTTATAATTTGGTGGCATTAACTATATCCACTGTTTCATGTGGCCATCACTATCTAGTTTCAGAACTTTCCAACATCTTCAGAAGAAACTTGGTGCCCCTGAGGCAGTCACTCATTTCCTGCTCAGCCTGTCACCTGCGTTCTGCTTGCTTCCTCTGCCAACTGGAGTCTTGCTGGTGCCTCATGGAAGTGAGACCGCTCACCTAGTAACCAGCTTGTTTGGTGGAGCCTGGTGGCTTCAGGGTTCTTAGTATTAGAGTTTCCTTCCTTTTTATGGCCCTCGGGTGGTTCCACCACATTCTCTTTATCCATTCATCCATCAATGGACTCTTCCTGCCTTCTCTCCACCTTTTGGCAATTGTAGGTCTCGCTCACGCTGCTGTGAACATTGACTTATGAGCCTTTGAATCCCTGCTTTCAGTTCTTGGGTGTGTTGACAGGGAGAGGAGTGGCTCTGTCAGCTCACCCAGCCACTGCGCTGCAGTTTGAATTTCCACTTACTGTAAACGAGGCTGAGCCTCTGGGCACACGCTTGGGTTCACTGAGGTTCTTTCCCCAGGAGCTGTGTGTGCCAGTGCTGGGACGAGGCTGTTTCCCTCACTGCTTTTCTCGCTGGACTTTCCCTGCCACGTGCCCCCGCTCAGGAGGAAGGACTATTTCATGAGGGCCCAGGGACAGTGCACTGCCACCCTTGCATTTTTTCCTGTGTGTGCTCACCGCCAGTGTGGGTGATGAGCATGGCACCGCCACCACAGCTGTGATGTACTCACTGAGTGCCAGCGGCGCCTGTGACATTTGTCTGGCAGAATTTGTCAAACACATGAACTAAAGGTTAATATTTCTGTCCCAGAGATGGAGGGAGCTGGCAGCCTAAGGGAGAGTGTCATTCTCTTTTTTAAAAAATCAAGATAAAAGTTCACATAACATGGAAGTAATCTGTGAGTGTGTGTGTGTGTGTGTGTGTGTGTGTGTGTGTGTGGTGGTAGGGATGGAACCCAGAGCCTTGTACATGCTACACAAGCTTTCTGCCACTGAGCTAAAGCAAACTTCAGGGGCATTTAGCACTTATATAAGACTATGCAGCTGCTGCCTCTGTTTAGATCCAAAACATTTGTCACCCCAAAAGGAAACCCCACCTTTCATTAAGCAGCCACTCCTGATTCCTCCCCAGGTTCTCCTCAGCCCTAGGCAACCATTCATCTTTCTGTCTCTATGGATCTGCCTGTTCTAGAAATTTCATATCAATGGAATCATGCAAGTCAAAGTCTTTCGCCACTGGCCTTTTTTTTTTTTTTAATTTTTTTGGTATTGGGATGCTTTTTGCCAGTGAGCTACATCCCCGGGCCATTTTATTTTTTATTTTTTAGACAGGATCTTGCTAAGTTGCTGAGGCTGGCCTTGAATTTGCAATCCTCCTGCCTCAGCCTCCAACTCCCCTGGCTCACACACCATTCTCTTGGTGACTGTCCTTTCTCTGATGAGACCCTGACCCCCACTTCTCAGTTGAGCATCATCTGCTGAGGCTAGGCCAGACCAGACAGCTGCTTGTACTCCTTGGACAAATATTTTTCCCTTTCTTGGGCCTCAGTTCCTCAACACAGGGGTATAACAGCAGACTCACAACCTCTGGTGTTATGACATCATACTGATACATGTAAACTGTAAAGTGCTGTCTGGATCATTGCCTTGGGAAGGATGCAGCCAGGTGGAAGTGTTTCACTTGGCTTACCCAGTGTTTAAAAATATTTGAAATAATTAGGAAACAACAATTGGGTAGAGACAGAAGTAGCTGCCAGCTCTGCAGGGCCCGTGCTCTCTTGGAGGTTACTTGGCTCCTGCAGGAATTGAATTTGGACTCCTTCCTCATCGAGGTGCATGAGGAGGGCCTATCAGGAGGAAGTGCAGCTGTTAGATCACATCATGTTTTGCAGGATTTTGTTTTTTTAGGATGTGAATCCAAGGTAGAGGTTAGGCCCCAGCCTGGGCCCCTAGGCCCTGCTTTCTGACTCTCTTTTTCTCTGCAGGTGGCGCTGCTGCCGGATGGCAGAGCCCAGGCCCCTTGGATGAAGTGGCTGCACGCACCATGTCATCATGTGTCACTAGCCAGCCCAGCAGTGACCCGGCCGCCCCCCAGGATGAGCTGGGGGGCGGGGGCAGCAGTAGTGAAGGCCAGAAGCCCTGTGAGGCCCTGCGGGGCCTCTCGTCCTTGAGCATCCACTTGGGCATGGAGTCTTTCATCGTGGTCACCGACTGTGAGCCGGGCGGTGCTGTGGACCTCGGCCTGGCCAGGGACCAGCCCCTGGAGGCCGATGGCCGAGAGGCCCCCCTCGATGCTTCGGGGCCCCAGGCCCGGCCCCACCTCTCAGGTCGCAAGCTGTCCCTGCAGGAGCAGTCCCAGGGTGGGCCGGCGGCCAGCAGCAGCCTGGACATGAACGGCCGCTGCATCTACCCGTCCCTGCCCTACTCGCCCGTCAGCTCCCCGCAGTCCTCGCCGCGGCTGCCCCGGCGGCCCACCGTGGAGTCTCACCACGTCTCCATCACAGGGATGCAGGTGTGTGAGCTGCCACCGCCGTGTCTGGGTCAGCTGGGCATCCCAGGAGGATCCCGTGCAACCGTGGAGCTGGAGGGAACCCCAGGAAACTGGCAGGGTGGCGGGGAGTGAGTCCGCCTTGGAAGGAAGTCCGCAAAGGTGCGCGGGCAGCGGCCTTGACGCTTCGGGGAGCCCTGGGCACACGGAGCCCAGCAGCCTCAATGCCCAGCCTAGGGTGAGGGAGCCCCAAATGCTCTGCTCAAGCTGCCATCCGTCCTTGTGAGGAACGCTGGGGTGGGAGGCCACCTGGGTGAGGGTGACCAGAGCATCTCCAGAGCCAGGGGGTCTCCTGCCAAGTGAGGCAAGGGCTGGGGGTGCGGCTCAGCACTAGAGCGCATGCTCCTGCCTGGCTCCAGCCCCCGCCGCAGCACCAGAAAAGAAGAAAGATGGATGCAGGTGCTGGGGGTTGGCAGGTGTGCAGGTGCAGAGAGATGGCAGTCCCGAGAGAGAACCCTCGTGGCGACCCCCTGCCGCATGGTTGAGGCAGCGCCTTTTCTCCTAGGGTCCTTACCATCGCTTCTGGGAGGTGAATCCATACTCACATCCCACCGCGTTCCCGGGGCCTGTGATCTGCCCTCACCCTTCTCCTGCCCTCTGCTGCTGGCTCACCAAGGCCAGCCCCATCCAACGACCTTGTCAGGACTGGGGTCCCCTCCAGAGCAGCCCAGCCCTCTCTCCTGTGGCCCTGCCTTCTCTCCTTCATGTGCTCCTCAGCCTCTCATGACCTGTGTGTTTCTCTGGTTGTTATTGCTTGTCTCCCCCAGGCTGGAGCCGCCGCTCCCCGAGAGCTGCTGCCACACCGCTGTGTCCTCAGCAGCTGGCCCAGGCACTGGTGCACAGGAGGAACTTGAACATAGCATATTAAGAAGGAATGAGGGCCTGGGGATGTAGCTCAGTTGGTAGAGTGCTTGCCTCGCATGCACAAGGCCCTGGGTTCGATCCCCAGCACCACACATACACACACCAAAAAAAAAAAAAAAAAACCGAATGAAAGCTGGGTATGGTGACAGTGCTTGTAATCCTAGTGACTTGTGAGACTCAGGCAGGAGGCCAGTCCAGGCAACTTAGTGAGACCCTGTCTCAAACAGTTAACAAGTGCTGGGATATAGCTCAGTGGTAGAACACTCCTGGGTTTCAATCCCTACTATAAAATAATAACAATAATAATTGAATTAGAAGAAAACTCTTAATTGGCTGGTTTTAAAGGAGCAACCTGGCTATAGGGGCTGCATTTTGAAGGCTAGGTAGAGCTTCCATAATTGGACATGTATACATAGAAAGGTCAGTGTAGGGAAGTCTGCACCCTGAGCAAAGGCCACAGGGTGGAAGGTATGATGGGGGAGTCAGGGGTTTAGTTAGCTGGAGTATAAGGCCCATAATGAGGGATGCCATGCTACAGACACTCCCCTTCCCGGAACAGTGGCTTTAAGGCAACTGGGCTTGTTTATCATGCAGAATAAATCTGGTGCCAGGCATTTGGGGACTTGGTGTGGTGGTTCTGTGGTGGTGGCCTCTGCCTTCACAGCTGTGTTCCAGGCAGGAAGAGGGAGCTGGGGAGAAGGGCAGAAAGTGGCTGCCTCCTAAGGTAGTCCTCTTTCCTGCAAGTTCTATCCACCAACTCCTGCCTGTCTCCCGCCCGCTGGCCAGAACACAGCCACGCAGCCACCCTAAGCTGTAATAAGCTGGAAGTGAAGTTTGCCAGATGGGACATTGCCTCCCAGAGGTCTGTTTAGAAGGAGAAAGGGGGAAACTAGTATTTGGTGGACAACTAAGTGCCTTGTGCAAGGTCAGAGTTTTAGGGGCCCTTGAAGGCCAGGCCATGGAGTCAGCCTGCAGCCGTGAAGCGGCAGGAAGCTAGGGCTGGACTGTTGGAACTGCTCATCACATCCCTCTAGGGCTCAGGGGAATGAAAGCAGCACAGGAGAGGAAGCTGGAAGCAGCCTGAGCTTCCACCCTTGGGAGGGGCTCCATGAGCCCTGGAGGTGACTTGCAGGCCAGAAACCAGGACCATCGCAGGACCCTCTCAGTGAGAGAGAAAAGGAAGTTGAGAAATGGGGTAGTACGGTGCCACTATTTATGGCCCCAGCTCCTCCCTGAGGCAATACTCTGTTTTCTACAGGGCATCTTACCAAAAAAAGGCCTGCAAATTTGGATGCGGAACTTGTATCAAGGTTTGGGAAAAGGCTTAGAATCATGGCGGAGGGAAGTGAAGGGTAAAATCAAAAACTGCATGTTTCAAATGAACAAAAATTAGTTTTGAGCCAGGTGAGGTGGTGCATGCCTGTAATCCCAGCAGCTCAGGAAGCTGAGGCAGGAGGATCTTGAGCAATTTAGCGAGGCCCTAAGAAACTTAGTGAGACTCTGTCTCTAAAATAAAATACAAAAATGGTCTGGGGATGTGGCTCAGAGGTTAAATGTCCCTGGGTTTAATCCCTGGTACCCCCCCAAAAAAAATTAGTTTTGATACATGACTTCACCTGTGAAACCATCAGCACAACCAGTCATTTGGGCTTCTCTAACATGCCCTGCAACCGTCCTCCCTGACTTCTCATTTCCCAAGTAGCTGCTGATCTGCTCTTTTATCACTAGAGATTAATTTGCAAGTTCTATAATTTTATAGAGGTGGGATCATTTAGTATGCACCCTTTTTTTTTTTAGCTTAGTTTTTTGTAATTTATCCATGTTACTCTGTATAGTGATGGTCCCCAGAGCTGCAGATTCAGTCAACCTGGGGTGGAAGATATATGGAAAGAAAAAAGTACATCTGAACTCAGTGTGTTACCACCCCCAACTCGTCATTATTTCCTGAGCAATACCACATGACAGCTACTTCCATAGCATTTACATTGCATTAAACATATAAGCAACCTGGAGATGATTTAAAGCATAAGAGGGAGGTTACATGCAAATGCTGTGCCATTTATGCAGGGTACTTCTGCATCTGCAGATTTCAGTTTCTGCAGGGGGTCCTGGAATCAATCTCCTGTGGGTACGAGGAACAGGTGGATCAGCTGTGCCTTTTTATGCAGAATCCTTCCATCATATGAATGAGGCACAGTTTGTCCATTCACCTGTTGATGGACTTTTGGGTTACTTCCAGTTTTTGAGCATTACCAATGAAGCATGTTTTCATTTTCCCTGGGTAAATGACCTGGAGCAGCATGGCAGGGTCATATGGTAGGTGTGTGTTAAGAAACCACCAAATGCTAAGGCTTTTGTCTGCTCTGCATTCTTGCTGAGCCTTGGTCTGCTCAGTTTTGATTTTTGCCAGCCTCTCCCTGTGGCTTTTGTGTGTATTGCCCTGATGACTAATGATCTTTTCATGTGCTTATTGACCACTTGTTTTATTTTTCTTTGGGGAAATTTCTGTTCAAACTTTTGCCCATTTTTTAATTGGGTTGTTGGACTTACTATTATTGAGTCATAGAGTTTAGTTTGCTTGTTTTCCTGTGCTGGGAGTGAACAGAGGGCTTCGTCACTGTAGGCAAGCACTCTACCACTGAGCTGCGTCCCCAGTCCAGGATCCAGAGTTCTTTTATTTTGGATTTCATTTCTTGTCTAATGTATGTGTGATGAATCCTCTCAGCCAGTGTGGGCCTTGGCTTTTCTTTTTCTCCAACCCCCTCTCCCCCCAGTTCTGGGGATAGAAACTAGGGCCTCACACATGCTCAGTGCTCTCCCACTGAGCTACACCACCAGACCTTTTAAAATAGTGTCTTGAGGTACAAAAGTTTTGACTTCAGTGAAGTCAAAAGTATCATTTGTTTGCTTTTGTGTTTTGTACTTTTTGTGTATGATCTAAGAAACCTTTGTCTACCTCCAAGTTTGCAGAGATTTTTTTACCCCTTTGTATTTTTGCATGACAATGTAGGCATGATTACTTCTTTCTTTATTTTATTTATTTAAAAATAAAAAATAGGAGTTTTATTGAATTCTTCAAATTACTACTCCATGTTTTTCTTCTTGGTGGAAGTCTTTAATCAACCATTCATAATTTGACCAAAAAAAAAAGATATTTTGTGAATGTGTCATAGACACATGGAAAAGAACCCTACTTTTGTAGAGGACTTAAATATGAATAAAGTCATGAGTTTTTCAGTAAATCTCCACTGGGTTTTCTGGTAATTTTACAAAAATAAGCCCATCAATGTCCATGAAAAATGGACTAGATAGATAGATGATATTTCAGTTTATCCATAATTTCACTCATTTTGCTGTCTGGAATTAACATCACAGTTCGCAAGGGCTTCATTGGTATATCATCAAAAGACCACCTGCCTCCCAGGCAAGTGTCACTCTCCTCTTGCACTGAGTAGTTGAACTTCAGGACTGCCTTCTCATAAAAAAACTCTTCCTCTGCATTTACAAACATTAATTCATCCTTCTGGTTGCTCCATTTCTTTTTGGAATTGGATTTTCCTGCTTCCACAAATGTCTTACTAATCAGAAGGTAGAAAGAACACTTCCCACATGGCTTATTAGTTTTGTGTGACTCTACTAGTTCTTTCTGAAGCTGCTGGTGCATGGGCAGAGCAATCTGAAGAGGGACATTAATGAATCTTTCACTTAGGAGAAAGCCCACAGTCTTGGTGGTGTCATTTAAAAGCTTGTCCAGCTGTTCAACCACACTCTTTTCACAGTTCTTCTCACAGAAGCTTAGAACCAACTCTTTAATTTGTTCAGCACACTGGGTACCCTTTCTTTCAGTTAAATTTAAAAGGCTTATGAAACCAAAAATTTCATCTTCATCTGCATCATCATCATCACTGTCTTCTGAAACATTTGTTTGCTTAATCACACTTCCAATATGGTTCTGTTGAATTAAGAGATCTGTTAGTTCTGCAGTGTTCACAGGAGCCTTTAGGAAAAGCTGCTGCAGTAATTTCTTAATTCCATCATAATCATTATCTAAGATGGAATAAGCTTCAAATTCAATATTCACTTCCTCATCAAGGACCTCGTCTTCGTCCTCTTCTTCGTCACTATCCTCATCGTCTTCGTCTTCATCCTCGACTTCATCCTCCCTTTCTTCTTCGTCATGCCGGATGGGGTCTCCGGGAGGCCACGGGGCTCCGTTCCCCAAGGCCCGTCGTTTGGCCCGGGACACCATGCTGCCGTTCCTCTTTCTTTATTTTAAAAAAATATTTTTTAGTTGTCATTGGGTCTTTATTTTATTAATTTATATGTGGTGCTGAGAATCTAACGCAGTCCTTCACATATGCTAGGTGAGCACTCTACCACTGAACCCAACCCCGGCTTACATGATTATTTCTTTTAAGTTGCTGAGGCTGGCCTCAAATTTGCAATCCTCTTGCCTTAGCCTCTTGAGTCAGTGGGATTACAGGCATGTGCTACTGCACCTGACACATGAATACTTTTTAAATTTAAAATTTACTTTTTGAAAGTGTGAACGATCTTATAAAAATAGATATTAAAGACTGCATATTATATGATTTCTCCCCCACTTTTTTTGGGGGGGGTGGTTTGGGGATCCACCCCAGGGCCCTGCTGAATAAACATGTGCTCTCCCACTGAGCTGCACCCTCCAGCCCTGTGTGATCACAGTTGGACAAAGCACAGCAATGAGGAAGATCTGTGTCAGGACAGAGGTCATTCTGGAGAAGGGACACTGCCTGGGAGGTGTTTCTGGGGAGCTGGGAGTTTTTATTTTCTTGATTTGGGTCCTGGTTTTGTGTGTGTGGGGTTCAGTTTGTGGAAAATGTATCTGTTACAAATTTTAAATTACTTACTTTCTAGGACTGTGTGCAGCTGAATCAGTACACATTGAAGGATGAAATTGGAAAGGTAAATACCCTAGGAGTTGGGCTGTCTTTCCACCTTGACCAGGGACATTTCAGACACTGTGGAAGAAGTTTATTGGAGCTGGGAGTGGAGAAAGGAGTCTTTGGAGGCAAGGCTGAGGGGGCATCTAGTAATAGGAGCAACCAACTGGATCCAGAAAAGATGGCTCCCGTCATTTATTTAAGGGGGTACAGCAAAGGCAGGGATAAGGTTTCAAGAGCGGAGTCTTGCCTGTGATGTCTCAGTCAGCAGGTTTATTGACATCTTGGCAGGCCACACCCATCTCAGGTTCTGTGTGGGATCTCTGGCAGAGTTTGAGGGGGAAGTGCACCTGCGTCAGGCACACAGTCCCTGTGGGGGTGCCACGGGAGTTTCCCAATGCCAGACTTATCCCCTCATTAGGCTACCGTGTGCAACATAGCCCCCACTCAGCCCATGGATGGCTCGTGACAGTCTAGTGTATTTTTTTAATGGTCTAGTATTTCTGTTTTTGTATATTAAAATTAAATGTTTCTGCAAAAGCTCAGAAAGCTTCCAGAGCAATGCCATATTGCTGTGCTGATTGTATGCATCCATTAGTAGATTTTTTTCTCCCTGAAGTTACTCTCACATCTGTATTTTTGTTTTGTTTCAGCCAAAGAACAGTATTATTACAGGGTCAAAAGCCCAAATGCCAGGAGAGAATAAGTCAGTAATATAAGTGGGCGTGGATGCGAGATGGAAGATACTAGAGAGCAGTGAGGACTGTGGCAAAGCATTAAATTATGGAAATGAGGGCTCCTGAGCAAGGCAGCCTAGGTATGAAAGTAGGGAATAGTGAAATCAATGGTGAACATTAGAGAAATGATATCTACATGTGGTTAGACCTCCCAGCTTTTTTCAAAAGAAGCCAGAAATGTGGGTTTTTAATATCAAATCTTTTCAAATATTGTCAACTAAATTCAAACTTTGTAGAAACTGCAGATCCAACAAAATACAGTTTCAGGGCACATTTGACCAATAGGCAGTGGTTTGCAGCCTGTGTGTCAGGGTCCTCATTGTGCAGCTGTATCACGGGCATTTCCCTTTATCCAGGGCTCCTATGGCGTGGTCAAGCTGGCCTATAATGAGAACGACAACACGTACTATGTGAGTACCCACACTCCCCTCCCCGGGCCCCTCCTTATCCAAAGCAAAGCTCACTTTCCTGGAAGATGGACAGATCTGTGGACTCATCTTCGTAGCACCTCAGGGAGGAAGCAGGGTGCCCGTTGGACAGAGGGCAAGATGGGAAGGTGAAGTAATGCAGCTTCTGCCTCCTCCGTGGCACTGAGAAAAGGGCAGTAGCTGGGCGAATTGCCCCTGTGGAGGTGGTCCAATGTGGGTTCACACCTGGCTCTAGCGGGTGCCAAGTATGTGCCCTTGGCAAGGGGTGCTCCTTGGCACCTCAGTTCCCCCGTGTAGAGCATCCAGTGACGTCCTTCCTCAGCCCTCTTCACCATCCCTGCAGCCCACTCACGTTTGGATTCAGGGGCAGAGAGTCAAAGGCTTGAGGTTTTCAAGCTGTGTTCCAGGTCCAGCCTCCTTGGAACCCAGGGATGCTTGGCCCCTGTTTTGATGGGGAGCTCACTGCCTTGTCCCGAGGCTGTCGTGGTGCCAGGAGGTCCACCAGGCCTGGGGTGGAGGGAGCCTTTCCTCACATTTGCTCCTTGCTGCTTTAACTGGACCTGGGGCCTTTCTTCTGTAGGCGATGAAAGTGCTGTCCAAGAAGAAGCTGATCCGACAGGCTGGCTTTCCACGTGAGTGCGGTGGGCGGGGCCTTCACCCTGTGTGCAGCTGGGGCAAGGAAGGACAGAGCCCAAGTATGGTGTCCCCTCCCTCCCCAGAGCTTCCCCCTGAGGACAGTGCCAGCCCTCCTGCGGACATTCTGTGTTCACTTTCATTTAAGAATATTTACGGAAGTGACGCAGGTGTTGTTCCCGTGAGCTTTTCTATACTGTGGCGTGATGGGTGCTTTGTTGCTGAGTCTTCACCAGCATTCACTGCAGGGCCCCTGGTGGCAGCAGCTGCTCCTGCCCTGCTAAGTGCTTCTACCTTTGCCCCCCCCAACCCCCCGCAGCTGCCCTCTGCAGGGGGGAGTCTCTCTGCCCTGACCTGGGCAGCCTTTGTGTCTCCTGCAGGTCGCCCCCCACCCCGAGGCACCCGTCCTGCCCCTGGAGGTTGCATCCAGCCCCGGGGCCCCATTGAGCAGGTGTACCAGGAAATCGCCATCCTGAAGAAACTGGACCACCCCAATGTGGTGAAGCTGGTGGAGGTGAGGTGGGGTGGGTTGTGGAGGATGGAGGCATGGAGGTCCGGCCTTGCTTTGTGAATACCCAGATGCTTCGAAGCCACTGGTTTCCAGGGAGAGCCAGGTCACACCACCTGGCGCTGCAGAGCCAAGTGGTCTTTTGCTTCAGGCTCCCTAACTGTTGTTACTTTGTGTCACTGTCACCCCTCCTTATTCCCATTTTACAGATGGAGACGTTGAGGTCCAGAGCCACTCAGGTTTGCCTTCGCTCACTCCTGTGGGTGGTTGTGGTACAGAAGCAGACACACATGTGCTATAAATTCCAAGAAAACCTTATTTACAAAAACAGATTCAGGCTGCATTTGGCCTGCAGGCTGATCTTTGCCAACCCCTGCTGCAGTCAGCAGTATTTACAATCTTAATCTCAAGACTCCTTTATGCTCTTAAAGATGATTGAAAGGCCCAAATCACTGTGGCCTATGTAGGTTATATTTATTCATATTACTTCTAAGAATATAAACTGAGACATTTAAAAATTATTGATTGATTGATTTAAAAACAGCAATAATCTTGCCATATGCTCTGGTGCATGCCTGTAATCCCAGCAACTTGGGAGGCTGAGGCAGGAGGATTACAAGGTTGAGGCCCCTGGGGAGCACATCCCTGCCTTTGGTGTGTGGGAGGCCACTGCCATACCTTGTCCGGGACCTACAGACCCTAAACCCTAGGTGGGCAAGGCCCGGGTCTGACTTGCCCACAGGGAGGGGCGCAGGGCTCCAGATGGGCAGCCCAGCTCTGCCTGGGTGCACCCCAGCTCTGCCTGGGTGCACACCTTTCCCAAGCCTGTTGGTGATTCTCGGGTGGCTGGAGAATGTGGGAAGAGGTGGGAGGCCTAGTCTGTCCAAGGAGAGAAATGGCAGCTGCAGGTCATTCCCTCCATCATGGCTGCCAAGCTTCATGCTCTCGACTCCCTGATGCTGGAATTGGCCATCTTAGAGGAAGTTCCAGGGGCAGTTGGTTTGCAAGTGGCCCTGAGTCCTGCAAAGTCTCCCTTCTCCCTAGTGTCCTGTGGTATCTGGTCTCTCTGCCCAACAAGATTCTGCCGTTCTGTTGGCTTGTTTATTCCCGAGGTGTCTCTGAGCACCTCCCGTGTGCCCAGCCCTGCCTCAGACACCACTGACATATGGAGGTGGTTACCCCTGTGCTGTCCATTGGTGAGAGGCAGTTCTGGACAGGGAAATGTCATTTCCTGCTGGGGTAGGGAGGGACAAGGCCACCTCATGGAGGTGCCACTAGTGCCAGATGGGCTCTGAATTTCATCTTGAAGACCAGTCCGTGTCTCTCCTAGGAGATGGGCTGGATTCTTACCCACATGTGCCAGAGGAGGCTTTGCCTCTCCCTGTGGTCACCTCCTTTCTGGGTGCTTGGAAACCTCGAGGACTGGGCTGGGGGTGCTTACTTTCCACTCTTTGGATCTTGCGCTCTGAGGAGTCCTCCTGGGCCTTCCATCTTAATTAGGAAGAGGGGACCCTCCCATGCCTCCTCCCTGCTCATGTCGGTTCTCTCTGTCCTCTCCTCTGCTTCGTGTCCTGGCCTGTTCCTGGTGGCTGTGCCAATAGGTCCTGGATGACCCCAATGAGGACCATCTGTACATGGGTAAGAGACCCCTCTCCTTCTGCTGCTCTCAGGCAGCTGCACCTGCCAGTGTCCAGGGGTCCTTTCAAGGCAGCCAGTGCCCAGCCATGGCCCAGGGACATCTGACCAAAGGCAGCTTCTCCTTTCCTGGTCCGGCTGGGCCCCACAGTGAGCCCTACAGAAGGCCACACCCCGAGTTCAAAGCGAAGCTGTCGTAGTCAGGGAAGATAGTGTAGAGAGAGTGGTGGGCAGGCCACCTCAGGTAGGAGATGACCGCTCAGCATTTGAGTGTCAAGGACACAGCCCTGTTACCTTTGGAGAATGGCATTCCAGACTGAGGGACCAGCCATGGGAAGGCCCTGAGGCTGCAGGAGATTAATATTGTTCAAGGAAAACGTAGAGCAGGGAGAGGCCAGGGCGGGACACCTGGGTCCTTAGCCAGGGGCAACAAAGGTTTTGAGCACTGGACATAGAAATAAAAGGACTCAGGTGTGTCCTCAGAGACCCCATTAAAAAAAAAAAAAAAGAAAAAGAAAACCAGGACATGAGCCATCCCTGTCAGCTCTCCTAAATGCTGATGAGGGAGGAATGACAGGACCCACCGAGACCTGTCAGCAGACTGTCAGGCCCAGGGGCACGGACTGACAGGCCTTGTATCCAGGAACGCCTGGCTGGGGTGGGCCTAGATGAGCCTGTGCATTCTGAATGCACAGAGAGGACAGCCTGGGGAGTGGCTGAGGAGGTGAGGGCAGTGGAGGTGGCAGGCCGGCCACCTGGATGGCCACACAGTGACCCTGGGCTACACAGGGCGTGCTCATAAAGTAATGAGTCTGGTTTGAAGACAGAGCTCAGGGTGTGACTTCCCCTAAGGCAGCAGCCCTTCGGTTCCAAGGATGCTATTCTTGCCTAGGACTTTTTTTTCTTGCCCTCCCCAGGTTTTTATTATGAGAATATTCGGCCTAAGAGAAGGCGGTGTTGTTCGGTGAATCGCTGTCTACATAGCCCCAGGTTCAGCAGTTGACTTTATCTACCCTGCTGTCTTCCAACCATCTCTGTCTCTTTATTTTGCCAAACCATTCAAAAATAAAGTAGCAGACATCTCAGGACTCCAGTCCCTGAGTACTTTAGGGTGCATCCCATAGTAAGGACATTCTCGTACATGACCCAGAACCAAATGGCATTATCCCTGTTCTTTGAGAGCATCTAATGTGGCCCAAATTTGAATCTTACAATTTTTTAAAGACTTCCTTTGGAAACAGTTTAGACGCTGGGTGCAGTGGTACGCTCCTATAATGCTAGCTACTTGGGAGGCTGAGGAGGGAGAATTGCAAGTTCAAGTCCTGCCTGGGTGACTTAACAAGACCCTGTCTCAAAAAATAAAAAGGAACTGGGTGTGTAACTCAGTGGTAGAGCAACCCTAGGTTCAATCCCCAGGACCAAACAAACAAAAAGCATATGAGATAATTTTGGGTGCCACATAGAAAACATTTAAAAAACTTTTTTTTTTTTTTTTGCATTTAATTTAAAACTCTATAGGAAAAACTATAACCAGTACACTAAACTCATGATTTCATGAATGTTATTACTTACAACAACCTCAAAAAATTAGAAACTAAGTTAATTTTTTTAAAAAGTTAAATATGTAATTATTTATATAGCATATATATTTGGCCAAGTTGTACACCTAGTAAGTGATTGAGTGCAGGTCAGGGAAATAGGACAGAGTCGTTTGTGCCTAGAATGGTGCCCCTGGTGTAATTTTCTCAGACTCAACTCCAAATGGCTTTGGGCTGTTTCTGAGGAGATCATTTGTTCATTCAGTAAACATTGCAATTTGTCAGGAACAAACTCAAAACTCCTCATCCTTGGCATTCACCTAAGTGTTACCTGTAGGCCTTAAAGGTGACAACACTATAAAAAAATAACAAATGCTTAACAGGGTGAGGGGAGCTGGGAGTTCCAGGTCAGGGGGATGGGAACTCAAATGGCTTCTGAGGGGACATTTAGGCAGGACAGTGGGGACCAGGTGTCAGAGGGCATTTTACACCATTGTAAGAATGATGGTGCACACCTCTAATCCCAGCAGCTTGGGAGGCTGGGATGGGAGGATTGCGAGTTCAAAGCCAGCTTCAGCCATTTAGCAAGGCCCTAAACAACTTAGTGAGACCCTGTCTCTAAATAGAATATAAAAAAAAGGGCTAGATGTAGCTCAGTGGCTAAGTGCCCCTGGTAACAAGAAACAACAACAAAAATGGCTTTGACTCTGAGCTCTTAGCAGGGAGGGTGCCATTGTGGGGTTTTGAGTAGACTGGAGAGAGGAATGGGTACAGAGTGTGGCCCAAGCATCACAGAGGAGTTTCCCAGGCTGTGTGAGGCGGCAGTGTCACCGAGGCCACAGCGGGAGATAAGCCATGCTAGCTCAGGCTGTCGAGCAGTTGGGAAAATTCCCACGTGGTTACTTTTACTTTCCAGCCACAGCCGTGTGTGCTGAGGAGACGGGCCAGATGATAGGTTTCAAGAAGGGACTTGAACCACAGGTCTGACCTTCAAAAGGTAGACTGTGCGGCCTGTATTTCTAGAGGAAATTCCCACCCACCACTCAACCCCAAGAGTAGCTGAACTGTTGGTGACTGAAAATAAACCTGTTCCAACAGGCCAGCCTCCCCCAGGCCGGCTGACTACGGTGCTGGCTGGGTGGGAGGAAGGTGCAGAAATCATGAAACTTGCAAGTTAAGACATAAATAACCGAGGCAGGAAAGGCCAGAGCTTCTCACCACAACCTGAAGCAGCAGCAGCTGTGTCTTTTTTGGGGGGTGGGGGGTTCCGGGGATTGAACTCAGGGGCACTCAGTCACTGAGCCATATCCCCAGCCCTATTTTGTATTTTATTTAGAGACAGGGTCTCACTGAGTTGCTTAGGGCCTCACTTTTGCTGAGGCTGGCTTTGAACTCACGATCCTCCTGCCTCAGCCTCCCAAGCTGCTGGGATTGTAGCGTGCGCTACTGCACCCAGCAGCAGGTCTATTTTAACTCAGGCTTATGGTGCCTGAATCCCTGGGAGTGACCAGAGGACGTAGTTGAGCATCAGTCCTATCTCTTGGAACCTCCGAGGTACAAGTGGAGGGACAGGAGGGAGCCCAGGAGCCCCTGTCCTGCTCCCCTTCTCCCCTGCCTTGTTTTCCTTCACCAATGGATCCTTGGCCATTTTGAACACTAGAGGTAAAAAGCCAGGCTGGGATCCTGGGGACGACAGAAATCTCTGGTCCTTGGCCTCCCAGTGGGAACTCGGCAAAGCAGGACATTGAGTGGCTTGGGTGCTGTGGACTCTCTCTCTCTGGTCCCCCAGTGTCACTTTGTGTGCTTCTTGGTGTTTCTGGAGGTGGATGGGAGATGGGGAGCACCCCGAGGGAGTTTTCCAGTTTCCCAGTGTAACAGTTGACCCCTTTCTCTTCTTTGACCTTGACCCTGACCCTAACCCCTAACCCTAACCCCTTTTTTTTCCTTACAGTGTTTGAACTTGTCAACCAAGGGTGAGTGTCCCTGCTCCCAGGCATGGTCCCTGCTCCCGGGTGTGATGCCCTTGGCTTTGTGACCTTCAAGGCTGAGGGAGGTGGTGCTGGGCTCTGCTGCGGGGAGAGGGCGAGGGCTGATCTGTGTGTCATACATGTTGATGTTTCAGGCCTGTGATGGATGTGCCCACCCTCAAACCCCTGTCTGAAGACCAGGCCCGTTTCTACTTTCAGGATCTGATCAAAGGCATCGAGTACCGTAAGTGGGGCCCGTGGGAGGATCATCACGCCTGGTGGTGGTCAGTCTTCCCAGCTGGTGGGTGGGAGTGGGAGGGTCTCCTGGTGTGCAAGGCAGTGGGCAGCAGACAGACTGTGTGAGTGCAGAGCAGGGCTGGCTTTGGAGAGCAGTCTTGGGGGCAAGCAGAAGCTGCTCTTCCTTACAAAGAGAGAAAATGAAGAGCAATAGTAGTTATGAGCATTTCTCCAGTGAATTTTGTGTGAACCAGGCACTGTTTGGGGCATTACCTTCATTCATCTCTCATTCCTCCCGAGGACCTGGGACGGGGACCCTGTTAACCTCCCGGAACCTTAGTTTCCTCATCTGTAAAATGGAGACAAAGTATTTCTCAGCAGGGTTGAGTGGTTATATCAGTGGTTCTGATTGGCAGGTGTCCTTTCTGCTCCTGGTTGTTAAACATTTCCACTGTTATCCCTGCCTGTCACATAAGATTATTTTGAAGTTTAATTGGGATAAATGTGAACCACTTAGCACAGAGCTAAGCCCAGGACTGGGTGCCCAACAGTGACACCCTCTGTTCTTATTGATACTATGATCGTCATCACCACCCCAGAAACTACACCTAGGTTTCCAGACCATAGCACCGTCCATTGCCATTGGCTGACACCAGACAGGAACGATGAGCCGAGTCCTCAGTTCTGTTTTTTTGGTTCACACTTCAAATCAGACTGCTCTGGTCATCATTGCTCGGGTGAATTAGTATTGGCCATTGGTAATTGAAACTGTGTTTGACTGGCGTGAGTCCTGAGGCTCTTAGGAGGGTAACAAACCCAATGAAAACTCCCGTGTGTGCTGGTAACCACACAGACAGGGGGGTTACACATTCTAACAGGTGGTTACGAATGGCTTTAGGCAGTCACTGTTTTGGGAACGAGTCCTTTTGAGAATGAGTATCTTTTGAAGACACTTTCCCCCCTTACCTTACCTTTTAGAGGATGGAGGTGCCCAGCAGGTTTGGGAGGGGAGGGTTGGGAAAGACCAGGGGCCATGGCAGAGGAGGCACCAGGGTTATGCCACGCTGTGTCTCTGAGCCGTGTGGCCATATGCAGATCCTCACAGGGGTTTCTTGCTCCCTCTGTTCCCTGGGTGCCATCCTACCCAGTACACTACCAGAAGATCATCCACCGGGACATCAAGCCTTCCAACCTCCTGGTTGGAGAAGATGGGCACATCAAGATTGCTGACTTTGGTGTGAGCAATGAGTTCAAGGGCAGTGATGCCCTCCTGTCTAACACCGTGGGCACACCTGCCTTCATGGCACCGGAGTCGCTCTCGGAGACCCGCAAGATCTTCTCTGGGAAGGTAGGTTTGGACCTGTCTGAACCGCTGAGATCTACCTGTGTTAGGGTCCTTTTGGTTGTAAGTGGTACAAATACAACTTAAATAGCAAATGCACTGGGATTATATAGCTGAGGAGTGGGCATGTGTGGCTTTGGGCTCTGCCAGCCAGTTACGCAAATAGGAATTTGTCTTTCTCCAGCTTTTGGCTGCTTTCCTGAGTTGATTTCCTCTGTGGGTGGATCAGGCACCAGCAGCTCCAGGCTACTTTCAGCTGACCAACCTCAGTAGCAAGAGCATTCCTCTTTCTAAAGAGCAGAGCAAGAACTCTGGGGCTGGTTGTGATTAGCCAAGTGTGGATTATGTGCCAGTCCTTGGACCATCCAATGATTGGGGGAATAGTGCTCTCCTTGGCCATGCCTGGGTCATGTGCTCTCTAAAAAGATTGAGGGACCAAGACCTGACCCTCCCCAGCTATGTGGACTGAGAAGAGGTGCTTCTCTAAATGGTGCTGGACAGGCAAAAGCAGGAGATGCCCTTCCCTGCCCCTGGCCACACCTGCCAAGCTCTCTTTTCCTTGCAGGCCTTGGATGTTTGGGCCATGGGTGTGACGCTGTACTGCTTTGTCTTTGGCCAGGTAAGAGGGTGGGGTGTCCTGTCTCCTGAGTGCTGCTGGCTGACCTTTTGGACTAATGGTCATCTTTGCAGAGAGATAGCACTTATTCATCTGAAATTTCTTTATCTCTGTGGCCAGACATGAATTTGGAAAGAAAGCCCACCTAGACATGGTACAGATCTGTATATGACACTCAGATTTCTGAAAAAGAGTCTGATAGAACAGAAGAGCTGGCAGAGACTCTGGAGTTTGGAGGTATTGCTAAGTTTAGGGCAAGCTCAACAAACACACCACCTCTCCCACTCCTGGGCCCCAGACAGACATCACTAATCAATAGCTGCACTTATTTCTCCTTTGCCTCATATTGCTTTGAGCTTCTTTTCCTCAGCGTGTGCTGAGACTCTATTGTCAGGGACAGAATTAGAATGGGAATTAAAAGTCCCTTTGACTTTTTTTTGACAAAGGGAGTGCTAGTCTGCTTTTTTGTCATTGTGACTCTTGTTGTAGTGGTGGTTTCAATATTATTGATGTTTAGAGGCTTCTCTTTTTAACTGTGAAGTTCAGTTTGATTATGTGAGCAATAAAAAATGTGAAATTTTCCCTTCCATGAGCTTGTGCTCCTGTTGAGGAAAGCTTAAGAATCTGGTCCTGTGTAGGCAGAAGGGAGTCTGTAGCTATCCTCTCCCACCCCCAGCATTTCATTGGAAAATTTTTAATCACATGACAAAATTGAAAAAATTTTGCATAAACACCCAGGACCCACCCCCACCCCCGCCACTGGAGTCTACAGTGACTGTCTCACTACACCTACTTTATCGCGTGGCTCTCCATTCCCCCACCCATCTTAATTTTTAGTGCCTTGCAAGATGGCCAGCCAGCACCTCTACTGTTCTTCCAAGTACTTTAGAAGGCAGTCATTGGCTAGAACTCCATATTTACCTGTGGTCTTCCCCCACCCCCCATTGGAGGTACAACTTACATACAATGAAATGTGCTATGTTCCTAATGAGTTCTGCCCAGCGGACGCTGCTACCCACACATTGCTCTTAAAGAGATCATTTTCCTTGGACAGGACTCTGTCACCTTTTCCCAATGTGCTGTGCTGTGGATTGAACCCAGAGCCCTGGGCATGCTAGGCAATCGTTCTACCAACTGAGCTATATCCCCAGCCCCAGAGTTCTTTTTTTACCAGCATAGACAACCAGCTTCTATGGGATCAGGCCCTCCACCTGGTGAGAGTTGATTTGTCACTTGGGAGGTGGTGCAAAGTCCCATTGAGGTGAAAAGCCCACTCTGAGCTGGCACGTGTCCTCTCTAAACTAATGTTTTTCTCCTCAGTAAAAAGAATACTTATTGTTTTTTTTTTTTCTTTTTGGGTCCTGGGGCTTGAACACATGCTGAGCATGCGCTCTTCCACTGAGTTATGTCCCAGTACTTATTATTCCTTATGGCTTCTGAGGGGATGGACAGAGATAATCCAGTATTTATGACCTGAGGCCCTGCTTCCTGTCAGGAATGTCCTGGACATGGGGGATCTACAGTGAGCAAAACAGATGCAAATCCCTGCCCTCCTGGAACTGACAGGGAGTGGTTGGCAGGGGTGGGGGTGGACAGGGAAGGTGAGCTTATTGGTCACTTGCATTACAGAGAGAATAAGCCATGCAAGTTTCCCTGGGAAGATCATTCTGGGTAGGGGGGGACAGTGGATTAAGTGTTGGTCACAAGGCCTCCCACAGAGCCTGGGTTACTGTTGCGGGGGGAGCAGAGTGTTTGCTTTTGTCCCTCCTAGGACATCCCTGGGCAGATGGGAACGCTCCTTCCCCAGACTGGGCCAGGGCTGTTGACTTCTGTCCTGTAACTCACAGGGAATGACACATCACAGGTGGCCTCTGAAGGACACAGGTGGCAGCTGGTCACCACTACTCTCTCCCCGGCCTCTTTTCACAGTGCCCGTTCATGGATGAGCGGATCATGTGTTTACACAGTAAGATCAAGAGTCAGGCCCTGGAGTTCCCAGACCAGTGAGTGTTGCCCATCCGTCCTTCCTCTCCTCGAGTCTTCTTGCAGTCCTGTGCATTTTATCTCCCACCCCTGACATGTCTCCCTCCCCCAGGCCTGACATAGCTGAGGACCTGAAGGACCTGATCACCCGTATGTTGGATAAGAACCCGGAGTCAAGGATTGTGGTGCCGGAAATCAAGGTACCTGGGAGCCACTGCTGGCCCCCGAGGCTGACACCCTGGGTTCAGCCTGCATCCTGTGCTTGGAATTGTTTGGCTCCACCCCGCCTTGGCCAAGCCCTGTGCCCGTTTGTCCACAGCACAACGCCCTCCTCCATACCGCAGCCCTCCCATGCCCTGGGCCTCTGGGTTGCTGGGGCTGGCAAGGGGTAGTGAGGAGGTTCTGGGGGTTGTGTTCACTGTGACTGTGATTGTGGGTTCTGTGACCAATCAACCAGGCAGCCTTGCTCTTGCTCCAACTGGCTCGGGCTGATGGGGCGTCTACCCTGTGCAGACTGATCTAGGGACTTTGTGTTCTCCATACACTAGCTGCTAAAACTCTGGGTCCTTTCCTTGACCTTGAATGTAGAGATATGGGCCAGTCCCTTTGAGGAACTGTAGTGAGAGTGGGAGGGAATCTGCCAGCACTTCCACCTCCTCAACCTGCCAGATTCTACCCTGTTGCAGAAAAAGCTTTTTAGAGAAACCTGTGTCCATCTGCTACCCGCCTATCAATGCCACGAGCACATATCTGGCCCTTTAGGAATCCTGAGATGTGCTTTGAGGTCTCCTAGGCACCTGGGCGGCTAGCACTGAAAGGTGTCTTAAGAGAGGGCAGTCCAAAAGGTCACATAGAAGGACTTGGACCTGAGGAGAGGGGCTGGGGACAACTCTGGCCTGGATCCTCCTGATCATGTCCTTCCAGCTAGTCTCACTGCCTCCCCAGGCCACCATTTTCCCTTCTCTGCAGTACGGAGGATGGCGCCTGCTCTGAGCGGAGCTTCTAGGTGTCAGTCAGAGTGATGGGCGCTAGTCACCTCCATGCCACACAAGATCTGGGACCAGATGGAGAGCGGGGTCCAAACGCTTTTCAGCCCCGTGGCCCCTCCCATTCTTGTCTTGGCTTTTGCCTGTTTCTTTCCATCTCACTCCCGCCCTCGGCCTGCCCACCAGCTCTCCTGCATGCCTGGCCGCAGGCCCCGGCCGCTCCCTCCTGCATGCCCTTCTTGGCTCCGCTCGCTGGCAGGACCTTCTGGGAGGTGGCTGCACCTGCCCCTCACCCATCCTGTCATTCGTTGAAGCTGCACCCCTGGGTCACGAGGCACGGGGCCGAGCCGTTGCCATCAGAGGATGAGAACTGCACGCTGGTCGAGGTGACTGAAGAGGAGGTGGAGAATTCTGTCAAACATATTCCCAGCCTGGCGACCGTGGTAAGGCAGATGAACCACCAACCACAAGCAGGGCCCGAGACAGCCTGAGGCGCGCCAGCGGCGAGGACAGGGCCAGGACGCAGCGGAGGCCTGGGAAGCAGATGTGGGGCCCGAGAGTTAGGAAGTGGCCGGGAGCCGCCCCTGGCCCACAGCTGCCAACCTTGGCCTCCGTCTCCTGTGAGGCCCCGTGGCCCATGTTTCCAGAGTGAGGCAGCCCCTCTGCAAGACCACACCGCCCCTCCTGAGTTTTTGCTTTCAGAGCATGGCAGGGGAGAGGAGCCAGGAGGAGGAGCAGGACTGGGCAGGGGCCAGGGATGGGTGCTGGAGCCGAGGTCTCATAAGATGAGGTTCCCATCTGTCTGGAGCTTCAGTTTCCAGAGCAGACAGCCCAGCATGTGACGTTGGCCTGGTGGGCTGTTCCCCAGCCAGGACATGGGCTTCTTCTCTGCATACCTCAGAAAGTTCTTCCCAACTCTCGAGGGTGCAATTTGGCTTGGGAAGAACTGAGCCCCTTTTGTGGCCTTGACTTTGGGGTCCCGACACAGGAAGAAGGAAGCAGAATGTGAATTCTTCAGCCTTAACCTTGGAGACTGTGGGAACTGCCCAGTCACCAAGCCTCTGCCCCTGCGGGCATCTGGCTCCAGGAAGAATCCAGGGGTCTGGGGTCCAGGCAACAGTCCTAGCTGGCTGCCCTCTGTGGCTACCTTGAAAGCCCTGGTGCATTTGGCCAGCTTCAGCCCCAGCAGGCCAGGGGACCCTGGGCTCTGGGAGAGACCTGAGAACCTGCAAAGCCAGCAGGAGGGGCTTCCCTGCTTGGGGAGTCCAGACGCTGGCTCTTCCTCTTCTAGCTTTGCACTGCTCACTTCTGCTTCCCACTTTGCCTGTCTCCCTCTAAATCCTGAGCCCCAGGACTCATCCATGTCTCCTCCTGCCTAGTCCTCTGCATGACCTTCACCGTAGAGACTCACTTGCACCCACTCTCCCTCATCCACCCTTCCACGCACCACACCCCATCTCGTGCCTGTGGCCTGGGAGGCAGCTGGTGTGGGACTCTGTGCCTACTATGGGTTCTGTTCCTGGCTGTCGCCCTGACCCCTCCCCATCCCCCTGCAGATTCTTGAGAGAGAGCCCCTGATCCCGGGGGTCTGGAGTAGGCATTAGCCATTCAGGAACCACTTCTTAAAAATTAAGAGCGGTTTCTCAGGCAGGGACGTGGTGATGAACAATACTGATGTGGCCCCTACCATGGCCCCTGCCATCCTGGAGAGACCACCAACAGATACAGGCACAGTGTAATGGGGGTCACGGGGCTGCTCCTGGAGCAGGGACACTTGGCCCAGGTGATGGGTTGGAGATAGCTTCCTGAAAGTAGTGGAAGTGCAACAAGTTAGGGGCAGGGTGTTGACCCGGCCAAGAGAGGGTAGCGGGGCAGGCAGCCCAGCAAGAGGGAAGAGTGCACTGTCCTCTGTTGGGAGGGAGCTCAGCCAGCCAGAAGCTTCTAGAAAGTTAGGGCTGCTGAAGCAGAGCAAGGCACTGCAGAGACAGTGCAATAGAGAATTAAATCTTGACCCCAAGGGTAGGAAGGATCTGAATCCCTGCTGGCAGGAGAGGTGGTGGGAACCTGGCTGGGGTCGAGACCTTCATTCTCAAACCGGCTGTCTTTTTCTCTTTTTTCCTTTTTTCCTCCTATTGAGGTAGAAGTTCCATTAACTATATCAAAGTGAACAATTCAGTGGCATTTATGATGTTCACAGAGTTGCGCATTTGTCACCTTGATAGTTCTGAAGCGTCTTACTCCTGAACTCCCTTCCCAGCGCTCCTCCCCCTCCTCCCCAGCCACCGCTGATCTACTGTCTCTGTACAGGTGTCCTGTCTGGACGTTCCATGTCAGTGGAGTCACACGCGTATGTGGCCCTTTTCAGGGCTCATCCTTGCTGCAGCAGGTGGCTGAGTAATACTCCATTGTATAGGTAGACCACATTTTGTTTACCTGTTCTTCAACTAATGGACATTGGCCACTTTTTGATAAATTAGTGTTTTTAAAATATTATTATTAGCAACAAACCCTTTTAAAAAATCAGAAGCTCAGTCAATCCATAATCCTGCTTAAAGAGGCACCATGCTCCGGAGCGTGAGCCCGGCCTTTCAGTGACCATGCTTCCTTTGACAATATCCAAGGGTGATTGGTAAGGAACTTTCCAGGGCTCCCTGGATGGTTACAGGCTAAGTTCCAACTTCCTATAGGTGAGGGATTCTTAATCAGGGGCTGAGGGGATCCGGCTGGGCTTTAAGAAGGCTGGGGACAGATGAGGGGAGATGGGGTAGTAGAAACAGAGAAAAGAAGCTGGGCAGGGCTGAGGGACCAGGAGGGGCCTTTCCTCTAGGCAGCCTCTACCCAGTCCTGGCTAGAGTGGGCAAGGCAGGGGACTGGGCCAGGGCTCAGCCACTCCCAGGCTCAGCGGGACCTACCAGGGCCTCTGTGCCCTTGTGCCCTCACGCCACACCAGCCTGTGAACTGGCGGTCTCCTTGTCCTGGGGTGTTTCTCATCCTCAACTAAAATGCAGGCCCCCGAGAAATCGCTCCTGCTGTGCCTGACCGGAGGAGTGTAGAGTGGTTCGGGCTTTGTAGAAAACACTCAGGGAGTTCCTCAAAATGTTAAGTACAGTTACAGGATCCAGAAGTTCTACAGATGCCTATCTAAGAGGAACGAAAACACGTTCACACACAAATATGAACTCAGTCGTCCACCCTGGCACCGTCCGCATCTGCCCAAAAGCAGAAACTGTCCAGATGTCCAGCAGACGGGTGGGTGAGCAAAGTGCAGCCCATCCACACCAGGAACATTATAGGGCCATGAAAAGGAAAGAGACTGATGCCCGCTACAACATGGGCAAGCCCCGTGAAAGGCAGACGCAAGAGGCTGCGATTGTGGGATTCCCTTTACAAGGAACGTCCAGAAGAGCTGGTCTGCACCCACACCAAAAGGGCTGAGGGTCGGGGCCCAGAGTGGCTGTTGCCGGGTTTGGCCTTCCCTCCCTCCTTTCCTCCTTCTCTCCCTGCATTGCCAGGCAGCGCTCCACCTCTGAGCTACACCCCAGGCTTATGTGTTTTTTTGAGGTAATCTAAACTTTTCCAAAAGTAGATAATGGTGATGTGAAAATACTAAAAGCCACTGAATTGTATACACTCACCCCTCCATAGCTGCGAGTTCCACGTCTGTGAATTTAAACATGTATCAGACATGTTCAGAGAAAGTGGTTGCTTCTGTATTGAACATAGTCCAGACTTCCCCTCATCCTTCCCTGAGCGGTATGGTGAGATCAGTATTTACGTAGCATTTCCATTCTGTTAGGTGTAAGTCATCCAGAGATGGTTTAAAGCCTACCAAGAGGGTGTGTGTAGATGTGCAAACACCGAGCTGTTTTATGTGAGGGGCTTGAGCATCCACAGCATTCTGGAGCTGGTGTGGGGCGCGTTCTGAGCTGATGCTCCTGGGCTTTAAAATGGTGAATTAAGGCATGTGAATTATATTTCGGTTTTAAAAAAGCACCCTCCCCCACGCCACCCCCGGAGCTGTCCTGGGGAAATATGGTTGGTTTGTCACTGGGGCGGTCACAGCTGGCTTTCCCTGAAAAGAAGGGCTTGAAGATGAGATAGGTTGATGGGCTGGGAGGACCACCTAGCAACAGCTCAGGTGAGACAGATGGTGCTAGGTGTGCCTCAAGGGACACGTAGGCCAGCTGTCCTGGAGCTTGGGGTCCATGGGGTCAGGTAGGCTGGGATTAGATAATGACAGGCTTTGCATGTTAGACCAAGGAGTCTGGACTTGAACTTGGCCTCCAGGAAGTGGGGAGTGGACCCATAGGACGTGGGGATGGGTCTGGCTGGTGTATGTTGGGGGCCGCCACAAAGGCCTGCTGTCCGTGGAGAGCCAAGGGAGCTGATGGGGGCCTGGGAGAAGGAAGGGAAAGGTTGTTGCCTGAAATCTCCCCCCGTGACCGAGCAGTCACCTGCCGCCTCCTCTCCCTCTTCAGATCCTGGTGAAGACCATGATTCGGAAACGCTCCTTCGGGAACCCATTTGAGGGCAGCCGGCGGGAGGAGCGCTCGCTGTCTGCCCCTGGGAACCTGCTCCTGTGAGTGTCCACCGTCTTCCTCTCAGGGTGGGGGCTGGAGGGTAGGCCGGGGCATCCCTGGAGCAAAATCAAAGGCCAGGAGACCCGCCCTGCACACTGTGCTCCCTGCCTTGGGTCTCCTCCCGTTGCCCAGCCCACAGCCTTGTGTCAGGAGCTCCTCCAGACTGAGGTCTGGCCTTTTCACTGGGGGTCTCCTCATAACCAGCACCCCTTCCCTGAAGCACAGTCCCAGAGGGTGGGGTTTTAGGCTGTGTGATGGTCGAGCACTGGGCCTTGCCCTGGGGCTCTGCAGAGAGCTGTCTACCCACCTGCTTGGCACTGGCCATGTGAAGTAGGCATTGGGGTCTGCTGTCTCTGGGGCGGGGGTGGTATCCCCGTGGCCCCTTCTCACTTCCCTTTTCCCTCCCTCTGGCAATTCCAGCAAAAAAACAACCAGGGAGTGGGAGCCCCTGTCTGAGCCCAAGGTAACGCCTGCCTGCCTGTGCGCAGCCTCTGCGGGGGCCTGGGGGGGGCAGGTGCAGAGCACGGGGGCGTCTTCTCCAGGCCATGTTCCTGCCAGCCTGGCTGCTGTGCTCAGCCTCACTTTGGGCCTCCAGACCTGGGGATAAAACCAGGGGCCTCGAGGGGCTTGGGCCCGATGGCGGGTCCTGCATGTGGGCTGGGGCTGCGGGTGCATGGCGCTCCGCCCGGAATGCCGGTGAACTCACCCTGGTCTTTAGACCCAGTCCCTGCATACTCAGTGCACGGCAATGGCCTTGAAGCTCTGTCACAGGCCCAGGGCTGCCACTACTGAGCGCAGTGGTTAGAGCACACATCAGGCCTGCTACGCCCTGTGACTTGTCTGCTGGCTTAAGATGTAGAAAATAAGTCCCCTCTGCCTGTTGCAAAGGGGCATAAGAATCCTGTGGCCTGAGTAGGAGCTCAGCCTTTTCCTCTCCGGGATGGCCCACCCTCCTCCAAACACACTTCCATGCCAATGTTACCAGCACCTCCCAGGACAGATGAGAATTCTTGTCCCTAGAAGACTGGAAGCTTTGATTGGCAGAACCACTGCTCGTTCCCCAAGTACCTGCAGCACAGTGGAGACCCCAGTGTTGTTCCCACAGGCTGATTCTCCACTGGCAGCTCCAAGCAGTTAAAAATAGCTTCATTGGGGCTGGGGGTGCAGCTCAGCGGTAGGACCCCTGCTCAGCATGTGCAAGGCCCTGGGTTCAATCCCTAGAATACACACACACACACACACACACATGTATATAGTTCAGTGACTTTGAATGTATTGACACTTATGCAGCCATCACCACAATCAATTTTTATGAGCCCAAGAAGAAGAAACCCTATACCTCTGAGCTGTCTCCACCCAAATCCCTTATTTCTCAGCAACTGCTAATCTACTTGCAGTTTTCTATGGATTTGCCTGTTCTGGACATTTTCTATAAATGCTTTTGAGTCTGTTTTTTTTTTTTTTTTTTTTGTTGTTGTTGTTGTTATTGTTTTGGTGTTGGGGAACGAACCCAGGGCCTCACACAAGCTGGGCAAGCACTTCTTCACCACTGAGCTGCTGTCTCTGGGACGGGGGTGTGGTATCCCAGTGGCCCCTTCTCACTTCCCTTTTCCCTCCCTCTGGTAATTCCAGCAAAAAAACAACCAGGGAGTGGGAGCCCCTGTCTGACCCCAAGGTAATGCCTGCCTGCCTGTGCGCAGGCTCTTTTTTTTTTTTTTTTTTCCATTTTTTAAAAATATTTTTTTAGTTGTTGATGAACCTTTGTTTTATTTATTTATATGTGGTGCTGAGAATCAAACCCAGTGCTTCACACATGCTAGGCAAGTGCTCTACCACGAGCTACAAAGCCAGCCCCATTCTCTGCTTTTTAAATTTTATTTTGAGATAGGGTCTTGCTAAGTTGCTGGCCTCAGACTTGAGATCCACCTTCCTCAGCCTCCTGAGTAGCTGGGGTTACAGGTCACACTGCCATTCCTGGCTGTGTCTGGCTTCTTTCACTTAATCTCATGTTTCTTAGGTTCCTCCCTGGTGTAGCATGGATCAGTGCTTCATTACTTTTTATCACTGAATAATATTCCACTGTTTGGATGGAGCACATTTTGTTTATCTATTCATCAATTGATGGACATTGTTTCTATTTTTTAGTTGTTAAAAGTGAACAATGCTGCATGCAGTTGTGTATAAGGGGAAATTGACTTATGAGCCAGGTGCTTATGCAGTAATCTAGGAGGGGCCCTGCTTTGGAGATGTGCTTTTGAGACAAAAGCAGGGAAAACACATTGGCATTAGCAATCAGGTCTGACCTTCAGCAGCCATAGAAGGCTGCCCGAGACCCTGTCTTCTTCCCAGATATCCCAGAAGCCCGGTGACTAGGCAGGCCTTTGGTTTGAGCCTCACAGTGTGATAGTAGAAGCCTAATGGGCTGACCTTTCCTTGGCCCTTCTCTTCTTAGTCTCCCTCTTAGGGTCTGCCAAAAGTAAGGCTGCTTCCCCTCTGTGAGCAAGTCTGTTGTTTCCTTTTTTGGGGGGTGGGGTGTGGAGGGGACCAGGGTTTGAAGTCAGAGGCACTTAACCACTGAGCCATATCCCCAGCCCTTTTAAAATTTTATTTAGAGACAGGCTCTTGCTAAGTTGCTTAGGACTTTGCTAAGTTGCTGAGACTGGCTTTGAACTTTGGATCCTCCTGCCTCAGCCTCCTGAACCACTGGGATTATAGGTGTGTGTCACCAAGCCTGGCTCTATTGTTTCTTTCTGTTTCAGTTCATAATTGCAAGACACCAACAGACTGAGATTAGCCCTTGGGGTTTTGCTGCTGCTTCATTTCCTCACCTCTGGTGCTAGAAACCCTGGGAGTTGCCTGCTGCAGCTGTGGGCAGGACGTCTTGCTCTAGGAGCTTATAGAGCTGGGGGTCCTGGACCACGGGCTGCCTGCTGTCTGCAGTGAGACCCAGCTGGTGCCAGCAGGTGGCACGGAGGGCAGAAAGCAAGGGTCTGATCAGACAGCTAGTCACAGCTCTGTCCTCCCTGGGGACTTTACATCTTGTTCTTTGTCAGAAACAAGAAGCCAGCAAATGTGATTTTCCTAGGGATGCATAGGCACTGTGATTTCCCAGCCCCTGGGCAGGGACAGAGGCTCCCTTCTGGCCAGGGGCACACAAGTCTTTGCTGGGAATGATGGACAGTAGCTTTGAGTGGCATGCTCAGCTTGAGGATGCTGAGGGCCTTGGGCCCTTCCTTAGAGATTTCCCCTCCAACGACCTGAGACTCAACCCACAGTGGTCACACCAAGCAGCTCCAGTGAGGTGGGGGGCTCTTCAGGGACAGAAGGGCTCTTCCTCCCTCTTCTGAGAAGGGAGGGGCCATCTTTTCCCTCCTAAGTGGTCTTCCCTTGAGCCTGGGTATAGGGAGCTAGGGCCAATGTTGTGGCCATTTCCAAAATGCCACTAGGTGCTAGTCCAAATTGGGCAGGCCCTGCCACTGCCCCACCAGGAGCTCACCACAGGGACTCACAGTTCCTGCCCTGCATGAGCTTTGGCCTCCTGGGGAGGGGGTGGTGAGACTATCAACCCTTGGGGACACCCCACAGAGGGGCCCACCTCCTGCTTGCATCTGCTGTAGTTTTATGTTTTGGGCAAGCATTGCTTCCCCATTTATGGAAGACTCGGTCTCCTTGGAAAAATTTAAGTGATCAAGGGCAGGTGACGTGATCGCTTTGCAGGTGGTGCGAGGCAGCACGCCTGGGCAGTTGGTGTCCCGTGGTGGGCGATGGTCAGGGCCCTGCCATGGTTTCTCCAGGCCTTAACGCTGGTTTTCTGTTCGGTGAGCAGGAAGCAAGGCAGCGAAGACAGCCTCCGGGGCCCCGAGCCAGCCCCCGTGGGGGAGGAGGAAGTGCTCTTGTGAAAGGTGGTCCCTGCGTGGAAAGTTGGGGGGCCCCCGGCCCCAGCTCCCCCGCACATGTGCTTCCACAGCAGCCCGAGGAGGCACTGGAGCCGGAGTAGCTGCCTGGACGCTCGACCTCGCATGCCTGGCCATGTTGCCCTGCACGGGCTGCTGCACCCTGCGTTTCCATAGCAGCATGTCCTACGGAAACCGAGCACGTGTGTAGAGCCTTGACCGTCACCTCTGGTTATGTGTTTTTCCTTTATTGTTTTAAAGGGGACAAAAAAAAAAAAAAAAAAAAAGACTTGACTCCGTGACGTCGACCTTGGCCGCTGGCTGGCCGGACCGGCGGGTGTGAGGAATTGCAGACCAAACCCACGTGTGTTTTGGGATAATTGCTTTTTAAAAATGTTTTTATGCCAAAAATCCTTCAAAACCATGTGAGATATACCAAGGGAATGAATGTGTGCGGGGTTTGAACGGCGCAGAGGAATGAGCAGGAGACTCCAGCAGGACTGGGGCCGAGGAGCAGATGCTGCATTTGAGGAGTGGAAGGAAGGCTTCGCGACTCCTTCTGCAAACCCCGAATTTCCTTCCAGAACCGTGGATGAGCAGGGCTAGCCCTCAGTAGCTGCAGAGAGCATCAATGCAACTTATTTGCAAGAAGGACTTTTAAATTTTTTTATGGTTAGAACTGTAGTCAGGAAAACTGAAAGGGCTTGAAGTTTAATTGCTTTTTGAAGGGGATTTGCCAACCCTAGGAGCCTTCAGCAGCCTGGGCGGGGAAGAGGTTTGCCTGGAGGACTGAATGTGCGCCCTTACACCTGCCACTCAAAGTGGGTTTCTGGAAAGGTTGGCTGGGCTCCAGTAAATCTCTTTGTTCAGTTACAAAAACTTCAGGGTGAAATCCTACACTTCCATGTACATTACATGGCTTATGATTCAACACAAAAATATTTTCAATTGTCTAACTAGACTGAACTCTAGAGAAGTTCAGAGGTTATTTAGAGCTTCCAGGTCATGCCACAGCTTCCCTGTGTGATCTGAGTGAGAGCCGATGAAACCTAATGCCTGTATATTAGCAACTCGGCTTGTTTATGACCTGTGTATTCCTGAGCCTGCTGAGGTTCTGTTTGCATCTTAACCGCTCACTCGCGGCAGTCAGCCAAACACTTTACCTGCTTTGTGGAGGGCTCTGAGGGAAATACTCTTACTTGGCTGAGACACAAATGATCATCCTTAGCATCAAAGCTTTGGTAGGGTCCACACAGTGACCTTGGATCACCCTTTTAGAGAAGATTGTTGAAACTCAAGAGTATTCCTTGGGATATGGAGGAACTGGGTGCTAGCATGGGAAGTTCCCTTTTGTAGCCTGAAAATTTTACCTTTTGACTTCCAACCAAAAGAAACTTCCCAATGCTGAGACGTTTGGCTGAGGTTTGCATGTGACTCTTCCCAGAGCCACACACTGGTGAGTGTGAAGTTCAAGGGGGTGGGAAGGACTTTGTGCTGGGAGGACTTTGAGATCTGGTCCTGGGAGGTAAATTCAGTGCCGGGCCTTGGAAGACTGCTTTTTTTGTGGTTTCAGTTTGATAAGCCTTGGTTCAAGGACTTCGCACAGAGACAGAAGCAAAGCCTGTGTCCCCTCCCAGCCATTCACAAAGCCTGGGCATTCCTTGGCTTCCATAGATTTTCTTAAGCTCTTGATTGTAGTTTAGCCAGGTTTCGCGTGCTGTTGTAGAAGCAGTTAGAATTAGGGAATGCTGGTTCCAAAGAGCACAGACTCCGGTGTAAGGAGGGTCATCTTGCCTGCTTGCTTTGTCTTTGTAACCTAGTATTTGCGCTTGTCTCCCCTCTGCTTTAAATTTAGGGGGAAATGACCCAGTAGCTCCACCCCTTCTGGTAGCAGATGGGGTCTGGTGAGTTTGCAATAAGCACCTTGCAGTGGTTAAAGTCTCCAGTCCTTAGGCTTATCCCCAGCCCGCGTGCACGGACTCTGCCTGGCTGAGTGGCCGAGGAGGGCAGGCTGCATGCAGAGCTCTGCAGAACTCCTCTCATGTTTACACGCCGCATTGGGCAATGCCATTTCTCCCCACCATGAACTCGCCATCCCAGATGTCTTATGGGGAAGCCCAGTGGCCAGGCAGCATCTAGCCATTTGGGTGGGTGGGGTGGGGGAGGTCCACACCGTAACTTTTATTTAGTTAGTTTTTAAAATAAACACCAAAGAAAGCTGTGGAAAGGAACCTCTCCTCATGGAAAGCATAAGTAGACATGGCTGTCACTAGGGCCACCACTCTTGGAGCACAAACGTGGAGTTTTTAAAAGCCAGCTTGGCCAGGAAAAGGGAGAAGCTGTCAGGAGCAGCTTTTTCCAGTGGGCAAAAAGGATGCCTGTGCTTCCTCGAGTTGCTGGCTCCTCTGGGACCAGTGTGGTGTGAGCCCTGTGGCCTGGAAGAAAGCACAAGCCTCCCACATGCTTTTCTTTTCCTCTGCCTGTTTCCACCTCTCCTGTCCATTCCAGAGGTGGCCAGTGGTCCCCAGAAACCTTATCGAGCCCCCCCTGTTGGCATTTGGGCCTGCGGAGGCCATTACTTTGGCCTTTCCATGGGGTGGAGCTCCTGTCCACAAACCCTTTCTGGAACAAGGAGAACCCCTGCCCAGGGGGAGGCTGGCCCAGGCTGTGGCCCTCACCCATCTTCCTGAGGGCAGCTTCACATTGCTGATGGTGGAACCAGGACCCCCACTTGCTTCCAAGGTGCTAGGGAAGATCTCATAGTCATGGGTCCCATCTTTTCTTCAGCTTCATGGGCCGAGTCTCATGGGACTTTTGACTTTTCTATTCTGTGATCTCTTCGATGCCCAATGCTTCTGTTTTATTCCTGATCCTTTCTACTATGCATTTTCCTTTTATCAGGTGTACAAAGTTAAATACTGTGTATTTATCACTTACAAGTACATGAACTTAAGAGAAAGATAAGCCTTTGGTGTTTTTCCACAAATGATTAAGCTTCTCTGTAAACTTGAAATAAAGAGACAGCAAAATGGTGCAAAGTTTGGGTCTCAGGGTTTTTTTTGGTTTTGGTTGGTTGTTTATTTTGTCCATCTGTCCTTGTGTCTGCTCTCCTTTCCTAGGTGAACAGCAGGTTACATGTCCCAGTCAATGCTAATGTAGCCAGCAGACCCCTGATTTAGGGCATGTCTTCATATGCTGCTGCTCAGTGTGACTCCAGGACCAGCTATGTCAACAGCACTTGAGAGCAGGGCAGAATGCACATGCCCAGGCCCCGCTTAAACCCGCTCACAGGTGACCCACCTGCAGGTTGAAGTTTGAGAAGCCCTGCTCTAGTGGACAGGTAAGGGCAAGATTCTGGCGGAGGCCAGACAGGTGAGTAGTTCCATCATGTGGAATGTGTCCTGTGGTCCAGGCCTGCTCTGTTACACTTCGCCCCAGGAGGTGGGTATTAAACTCATAATGAGGATCATCACCTGTGAGCTGAGGCTCAGAAAAGTTAAGTCGGTTGTCCAAGGGCTGGAATTTGTCAGCAAAGCACCTGGTCTTTGGCGTCCTGAGTCTTGGTGCTTGCTGGTTCTGATGGCATCTGGATGCTCCTCCAGGCCAAAGGTGGAGGAGTCTCTGCATTTCAAGTGTGGCTCTACTCCTTGGAGGTGCTCTCTTGGCTTTAAATTTCATTTTTCTGTTACTGGGGGACAGCAGGCAAAGTCTAACAAATCCCTATTCCACTGCTTCAGAAAAGCATTGAAATGCAGGCCTTCAAGACTCAGGAGCAAGGGGCTGCTATCCCAAGACCCCACTGCGAATCTGAGGGAAGGGAGGAGGGGTGCACACAGGTGCATCATGGAGCAGAGCTCCAGGGGCACAGAAGACTCCTGATGGCACCAGGGTGTGCCAGTGAGAAGGGACATGGTCAGAAGCAAGATGAGACTGGTGAGTGAAATCGCAGTGCTGCCCAACACCCATCCCTCACCCCGACTGGCCTTTGCATTCCATTTCAGAAAAGAGAAGGCCAAATGCAGCCCCCCATTACAGAAGACCACTGCCATCACTCCTCGGCTGCAGGGTAATAGACAAACCATTTGTCTTGTCTGTTTGTGCTACTATAACCGAATGCCTGAGATGGGGTAATTTGCAAAGAACAGAAATTAGTTTTTCGGAAGTCTAAGATTAAGGCACTAGCTGGTTTGGGGTCTGGTGAGGGCTGCTCCCTGCTTCCATTTGTGCCCAGAAGATGGAAGGGCTGCAAGGGGATGAGCTCCTTGTCAAGCCCTTTCTATATGGCACCTAGTTCCATTTATGAGGACTATGACCCAGTCTCCCTCCCTGTCCTGTTGCACTGGGACTCAGTTTCCAACACATGAGTTTTTTGGGACACATTTAGATCATATCACGATTCCTAAAGATTCTAGCTCACTTTTTTTTTTTGGGGGGGGGTACTGGGGATTGTTGGACTCAGGAATGCTTTACCACTGAGTCACATCCCCAGTGCCAAATGAGCATTTTAAAAAAGGCCACATTAATCAGCTCCTCACCCCCTTGGTACTGTAGAGTGACCCAACCATGCTGTGCCACTGAGTTACAACCCCAGCTCTTTATTTTGGACAGGGTCTCACTAAGTTTCTGAGACTGGCCTCAAATTTGCCACCCCCTGCCCCAGCCTCCTGAGTTGCTGGGATTATAGGCAGGTGCCACCACACCTGGCCTGAACCACGACATTGTTGAAAAGTATTTAGCAACCCCCACCCCCAAAGAAAAGTCCAGGTGGATCATTTTTCCTGCTGAAGCAGAGTACTTCTAAAGTATTCCCCAGAGTAGTTGGAAATGAAGTGATTCATGGGGAAGGGGAGAGGCAGGCTGCCTCCCTTGGAGGAATCCTGAACCCCTGAAGCAGAATCAAGCACAAAGTTGAAGTTACAGCTGGAAGTAGCTCCATTACCATGTCACACGTGTACCGAGAGGTGCAGGTGATCCTGCTTTGGGTTGGAGGCTTGGGAAGAAAACGGAGAGAAGGGGATGGGCCACTTCCATGTTCCCTAAAATTGTGCCACCTACAGTGTACTACTGCCATCTTATGTAAAAAATGCCAGCACAGGTGAGATGCCACTAGGAAAAAAAAAAAAAAAACTTACAACTCAGTGAAGATCAAAACGCTTAATTAGGCTTTAAGAGAAAAGCCAGGCAGGGGAAATGCCTGAGTTGCAGAGACGGATTGTTTCAGAGACCTTTCCTGAGGACAGAGCTGGACAACAAATGGGTTTACTTGAAATTGTCAACCTGAAATACCAGCAGAGGGGTTTATTCAGAGGTGACTGCAACCAGGCTATGTGTGCCATGGCCTTGGGGGGCTGGGGGGCTGAGGCCCAGGGGAGCAAGACTAAAAAGAAGTGCAGGCAAGATATTTCCAAACAGAAGTTGTTTGGTGGCAGGGGCTTATCGCAGACTGTGACGTGTGTGCAGCCGTTGCCAGGAGAGTTCTTTGGAGAGGTGAGCTGACTGTGAGGCTGCCATTAGGACCGGCCGTTCCAGGAAGTGGCCTTTGCTGCAAGGTTGCATGTGGGCAGAACCGACGGTAATTGTTCTTGTCATCAGGCAAATGTGTGGGCACCTTTCCCCCATCCCATATTAACTTCCCTGAAGTAAGAGAAGGAAGGAGAGCTCTAGCCCATCCTAGGAGACGGCATGCGAGAAGTAAGAAAAACCGCTTGTTTTAATGTTTGATCTTCAACCATCTCTACACAGCTGTTCTCAGAGGAAGAGAGCCAACTCTGTAACACGGTTGCAAGGACACTGTTTCTGGTTTGGGGGAGAGGAGCAGCAGCCTGGGCCTGCTAAAGTCTAGGGAGCACGAGCCTAGAGGCTTTCTTTTCCTTACAAAGTGCCTGAATGGAGTTGCCATGCCTCACAGGATTGGCCCTGTCCGCGAGGGCTGGAGACTGCAGCTTCTGAGGAAAGCTGGCCCCGGGGCCTGCAGAAGGCCCCAGCAACTCGCCCCAGCCAACAACACACTGGTTGGTAATCCACTGTGCCCAGGGGACAAATGAACCCCCCCACACAAAATGTAGGAGCTACCAGGCAACCCTCAGTACTTATGGAGAGTGAATCAGAATCTGGAATGTTCTCTGGGGTGACATAGCAGCCATTTCTCCCTCCTTCTCATTGTGCTTGATGAGGGCTTCGGGGAGCCCAGGTGTCGGGTAGGCATCACTGGCCTGTCTCACCACCAAGACCCTGCAAAGAGGGATAAGGAGGTCAGTGTCCACCCAGCAGTCACTGCCCCTGGACCATCTGAGGCAGGCAGGAATAGGGAGCTTTTCCTGAGGGCTTCTGGACAGCCCTTCACAAGAGGACTCCAGCTGGTTCTAGAACCGGGTACCTAACCCTTCTTGTTAAGCAAGGTGAATTTACTGTGAGGATGTAGGAGGATGTAGGTGGTCCCATTATCATGACTAACTCAAAAGATCACTAATCGAAACCAAAGTAGGTTCTGAAGAGTCTGAAGTAAATACTAGAACAGGTGGTCCAGAGACGGAGCAGGTGCTGAGGCTGGCATCTGACTGCCAGCCTGAGGCGATGAGCTGTCAGCTGCCAGAGCAGCACCAGCCTCTGTCCAAGGGCCATACCAGGCAGCGCAGGACCCGGGCTTCCCTCCCCAGAACAAGAGGCTCCCTGCCTGCAGGGAGCACAGGAGGTGCCCACCTGCTCGTAATCTTCCACGTATTTGTACTTCTTCTCCCGATAGTAGTATCTCTTCTTCATGCAATACAGGACTATGACGTCACACAGCACCGTCGCCTGCACATAGCAAGGGTAGAGAGGATGAGCCCAGTGCTTTAGCTCCTGCTGCTCTGTGTATGTACTTCCCCCTGAAGTCTGGAATCTCTTACAGGAAGGAAAAGCACCTTCATCTCTGGGGGTGAAGGACGGCCCAGCCCGGAGGGGAGTGGTCTGGGAGGAGGGACGGTGGGTATGGGCAAGGAAAGAAGCCTGGAGGCTCTAGACTAGAAAGTGCTGCTGACTGCTGGGGAGGCCCAACCACTCACCACGCCCAGCAACGCCAGGCCGGAGCCGATGTTGATCATGGTAGGGATGATGTCAAACTTCCCAGCCTGCATGTGACAGGAGAAGAAAGGAAAAGCTCTGACAGGGGTAGGGGAGAGCAGATGCAAGGCAGAAAGACACCCCTGTCCTTGCGGGGTCCCCACAACAGCCAACAGGGAGTTGGTGGCAGGCCTACCTTCCCAAACACGATGATGTCGAAGCGGATACCATATGCCTTAATGAGCGTGCGCTGCTCCACACCAGTGAGGTCCCGGTAGTACTTGGCAAACCTGTGGGCATAGGGCAGGTCAGAGGGAAAGGCACAGGGTTCGGGGAGAGGGATGTTAGAGCAGGATGCAGTGAGTCTCTTACAGAGGGAGGGTGCTGGAGGCACAGGTAGACCCCTCTCTGTCTTTACCCTCTCCTTCCACAAGGTAGCATAAGCCTGAATATCCTTGCTCTCAGTGTCCTTCCTGATACATCTGACCTCCCTACCTCTCTCAAGGGGACTTGGCCACTAACTGAGAATGTGGCCAGCCAGCAGCAATCTCTAAGACTGCATTGTGTGGTCACAAAACTTAGCATCACCTTTAAAAAGTAAAAAGAACTAAGAACAACTGATCCATCAACAGATGAAGAGGGAAATGAAATGTGGTCGATCCACACAATGGAATATTATCTGGCCATAACAAGAGGTGAAGCTTTATTATCTGCTACAACATGAATGAACCTTGAAGACATGAAGCAAAATGAAAGAAGCCAGTCATGAAAAGACACATGATGTATGAGTCCATTAACAGAGGAGTCCAGATCTGCAAAGCCACAAAGTAGACAGGTAGTTGCCTATGTCTGCGGGGTGGGAGGGGTGACAGCTAGAGGGATCGGGGTTTCTGAGTTGAAGATGATGTTCTAAAACTGACTGGTTGAACATATGTGTAAATATATAAAAATTACTGGATTCTAGACTTTAATGGGTGATTGCTCACAGAGTAGTCTT